AAGATAAAATGGAGAGACACACAGAAATTGTTAACATTTAAGTATGTATCAAAAAAATTGTACAATTATATAACTAAACTTGTCAAAACAATTAATCTACATCCTCGAATTTGAACTCTCTCAAAGTACCAATTGAATAATCAAATTAGTAAGTTAGTTGTGCTTTCTTAATAAGAATTTCGCTTCGAATTATCCAAGGGATCCGCAGATCTAAAAGAAAACACATGAGACACAGTTGTACAGACATTTCGTATAATTAGGAAAGCGTTCCGGTTTCAATGGGGAAAGAGAGGGAGACGGCAGGGGGAGACGAGCGCGTACAGGAAATTTCTAACAAGGACAAAGGATACAAATTCCGGAAGCGGATGTCCATGACACAGACGAAAAGCCGAAAGGGGAAAACCTGACCAAAATTAGACGCTCTCGTTTGTAGTTTCGGATCACGAAGGCCGCCGGAGTTGTCCCGTTTCGGCTCTGGCCCATAAGTCCTCGACAGCTGGTGCCGCCGCCACCGCCGCCGCCGCCGCTGCCGCCCTTACCCCGGCGTTACAGCCGACGTCTAGACCCGCGTATTTCCGGGCCGGATGAGCGACCGGCCGCCGCTGCCACACGCCACGCGGAAGTTGCCGCACGCGCTCTTCCGCAGGATGGAATTGGTAATAATTCATGAAGTTCCCGTGCCTGATAGCGCCCGGATCCGTTTTCTCCTCGCTCTTCTCATCACACTCGCCAGTATCGTCGCTATCGCCCATCCTGTTACTTTTTGGAAAAATCTGAAAACGTGAACGGAAATGGAATGTTATACACTGAGAAAAAAGTTATACTAATGGTAACAAAAAAAAAAAGAGAGAATTCATATCCGTAAGTAACCGATTTTCATTAGACAATTTTGTTTAGCAAAAATAGCAAAATATATATTTTTTTTATTATCATAGATAAGGAAAATTTGGTAAATTCTTTTATTTAATAACACACAAGTTTATTTGGTTACTTACATTTTGTAAATAATATAAAATTGGGTTTATTACAATTACAGAATAAATTTTTTTTATAATTTCAAAATAATCTGTTATAGGTAGAGAATATTTTTGTTAAAAGTGTTTTTTTTTGTAAAATATTTTCGTTAAGTGCATTTTTGTTTAGTGTGTTTTGTGCATTTTTTGCGTGTGTGTTTAATAATTCAATAAATTAATATCGGTGCGATAACAATGATTAAATTAGTCAATAGTCATATATTAATAAACCCTAGTTTTAATGTTTTTAATAAAAAATTGTTTGTC